TGGCAACTACCGGTGTGAGTTGGACGACATCCCGTGAGGTCACCGTACTTGTATGATCTGCAAGCTGGCGACCTGGGACCCTCGAAGTCATCTCATCACATGGTTTATACGGTACTGGACATTCATTATAGGACGCCGCGCACTTTTAACGAACAAGATATGAACATGGAAAACCTCCCTCTCAAGTGGAACTCGGACCCATCTCCTGAACCTCAGCATCGGCGCCGTGCAGGATTCCCTGTCTGGCACAGGGCAAGCCCCTTCGGCGGCCACGTTTCCGCAGTTCGAGCAGTCTGAATACGTTGAGGCCGCCGAAGTTGCCCGGCCTACATACTCGCGCAACTGAAGCTTCCACGAGACCTTTCGAAGTCATATCACCACACGGTTTAAACGGTACTGGCCACTCATTTTAGGACGCCGCGCACTTTAAAGAACAAGACATCACCATGGACGATATGTGATCCCCTTCTCTATCTTACGTGGACCTTGAACTCGTGTTCCTCTGATTCCGCGAACCTCAGCGTCGGCGCCGTGCAGGATCCCCTGTCTGGTACAGGGGATGCCCCTTCGGCAGCCACGCTTCCGAAACTACTTGTGCGCTTTTGGCGACAACTTCATTCCTCGACCAACTCCTCAATTACTCTCTCAGAAGCTTGTCCGGCTTCCCTTCCGGTACTCCCCCTTTCGGACGAAGAGCTGGACTAGACAATGCTCGCGCTTCTGCGGGACCCATCCAATCAACTCATCACCCGGTTTACACGGTACTGGACACTCATCCTAGGACGCCGCGCACTTTCACGACAAAGATGACCCTATATGATACCCTTCGCTTGCAAGTGATTCTTGGACTCGTTTCTTGGAATATATGTATATGTATGAATGTGCTAGTGTATGTAGAACAGCTTGAATGCCTTCCATGTCGATAGAAAACGATATTCGGAGTCGCTGATTAGGATCAAGTGCGGAGGACACCTGTAACCGATGCTTGGGAATCATGATGCAAACATGTACGATGATGGTGTGGAAGTCGAAGCAGGGGTACTTCGGCGTCACGATATCCGCTTTCAAGATGCTGACAGGACCATTACATCTTATCCTCTACGGCTGGACGAGTATAAGCTCCCTACCTCACACGCTCCAAAGGATGGGCGTATAGACACTAGTCCTAGACCGAACGGTCGTTGGGACCTTTGTCCACGCCGCGCACACGAGACGATTGTCAGGAGGCCTGTCCATATCCGAATCTGTTGGTAACCTGATAGTCTAAGATGCATAGAATCCTAATGCGAAGAATGGATGAGTGCCAGCCAAAGACGCGAAAAATGATGATCATACCAGATCTGACCCTCTCAACCGGCAGCTGCATCGTCGTCGCCTCTTCAACAAGCTCCACGGAGCACATGCCCCTCCTCCTGCAGCGCATCTAGCAACGACAGAGGTCTTGGAGCCGCAGTAGTCGATGCAGTGGTGGAGGGCCATGGCGTTCAAGGGCGGCGGGGCACCTTTGGCTGCTCTTATGTCGGGCGTCCAGCGACAGTCAGCGTCGAGCATATACATACCGTCTCGACGGTTGTGTGTAACGATCGGCGGGGATCTGTGACACTGTTACAGGATCCAAAGCTGCTGCCAAACAACGCCGCCGAAAAGGAAGGATCAGATTGTTGTGTACGTTATACACGGAATACATTGACTCTGCAGTCCCAGCTACAGCTCGCCAACACACCTTCCTCATACAGAGACCAAGCACATCCGACGACAAACTCTGTGTGCGGGTCATGGATATGTAGCAAATGCGACCGGCCAGACGGCGGCGTGGTGGTCCATCTATCCAGCGGTGAAATCCAAATTAGCACTCGACGTACCGCGAGAGAACATCCACTTACACTCTGCAGGTCATGTCATAGCTCGCACTCGCGAGCACGTCCGGCCGGTGCGGGCTCCACTGCACCTTGCGCACCGCGTACTCGTGCCCGGCGAGCGCGACCTCGCACACGCCCCCCACGCCCTCCCCGCCTGTCTTCGCCATCCGGCAGTCCCACACCTTCACGCCCTTGTCGACGCCCGCGCTCGCGAGCACGAACGGCCGGTACTTGTTCCAGTCGAGCGTGAGCACTTCGGTCGTGGACGCGGGCACGGTGAGGGCGGCCGCGGCGAGCGGGGTGCTGAAGTTGGTTGAGGGGAGGGTGGGGGCGTAGGAGGGGGCACGGAGGTCGAAGAGTTTCATGGTGCCGTCGGTTGAGCACGTCGCGATGATATCGGGTTGGTGGGGGGAGAAGAGGGCTTGGTAGACACAGGAGTGGTGCGCGTGCAGGGTAGTTATCGAGCGCGGACGCTCCGGGGACCACTAGTACCGTCTTCAGCTCGTTGGTCGGGTGCAGCAGTTGCTCGACGCACCAGCTTCACATTCCCGTCCCACGACGAGGACACAAAGAGATCCTTCTGCACATTCGACCAGTCGACCGAGAAAACCTCCCTCGTATGCTCCTGCCACGCACGGATAGGCAGATCCTAGGACGCGAGCCAGGCACTTGCATTATTGATTGCCATTAACCCGCACGCACCGGGAAGACGCACATTCAGCATCACGTCCCACAGGCGTATCGACCCGTCGCCGCTCGCAGTGACGAGCTGGTTCTCGTGCACCTCCGACCACGCGACGTCGTATAGCCCATCCTGCGTTTCATAGCTGCCGTCTTCATCATCAATGGTCCGATTCCGATGCGACTGTACTGGGGGTTGCTGGGCAGACGTACTATTTGTCGAGGCCCAAGGCGGGGACGCCGCCGGGCCCGGGTGATACAGAGACGAGGTGCAGACGCCCGTTCCCGACGAGGCCGTAGTTTGCGGAGGAGGCGACGGCGAGGCGGGTCGTGTGGAAGGGGGACCAGGCGAGAGCGTAGTGCGCGAAGCCCGGGGTCTGCAGCATCGCCGGAGGGGGCCTGCTCATCGCGCTCCGTTGCGTCTGTGTCGTGGACCGCCTTCAGTCGTCGCCGTTCGTTTTTTCGTGGTAGTTCGCCGCCGTGTTCTGCAGGCAGCACGTATCGTCCGAGTGCAAGGTTGACGCCACCGTCCCCCGCGTCCTCGAGCTCTTTTCACATGCGCGTCTCCGTCCCGGGCATCCCCCAAGCTATCCTCGCAGCCGCAGGCAGCTCACCCGCCCCCTCCCTCCCCGCCGCCATCGAGCGCATATCCACGTTTCTCGCTCCTGGGAATGCAACAGTCATAACAGGCGCAGGCGTCAGCGTCGACTCCGGGATCAGGGCGTATAGAGGCAAGGATGGGCGGTACACGAACCCGAACTACAAGTGCGTTGGTTAGCTATATGCAGGAGGTAATGAGCTGAGTGCTAGTGAAGGCCGATTTTCGTGAGTGTGCAAGGTATATGCGGCGGGGAGGCGTCCTAACGGATGATGGGAAGTACCATGAACTCATAGACGAGACCCCGCGGGGGTACGCGTTCCGGTGCGTACATTCCTGTTATTCCGACATGCCTACGCTTACCAGTGTACATCCAGGCAGAGATACTGGTGAGGCTGCAACTCCTTACGTTCCTGTGTGGTAACTTAAGAGGCATAATGCACGAAGGCTACGCTCGTATCTGGGCTATCCTCCGGTCCGCGACGCCCTCCCGAACACGACGCACTACGCCCTCGCCGCCCTGCAGTATGCCGGCCTCGTACCGCGGTTGATCACACAGAATGTAGACGGGCTGCACCACAAGGCGCTCCGGGGCGTCTGGGATGAGGCACGCTTGCGGGAGCGGATCCTCGAGCTACACGGGACGCTGCATGTATGCGCGCTATTTTCTTTCCTTTCCTCGCTTGCTGGTTGACGTGGTGGTGGCAGAAAGTCCACTGCAATCACGGGCACACAGTCGACCGCGAGACGTTCCAGGACTGGCTGTCCGCGGCGAACCCGCAGTGGAAAGCGTACGCGGACGACCTCGAGCGGACGGGGCGGCAGCCACGGACTAACCCGGACGGCGACGTAAATCTGTTCATTTACTCGCCCTGCCTGCTTGTGTTCACGGCGTGTCTATAGGTCGTCTTGGAGGGCGTGGAGTACGAAACCTTCGTGGTGCCCCACTGCCCGTCTTGCATGCTGGAAGGGCGGCGGAACTCCGTGGTGAGTATAGCATTAAGCCGGATACTTTGCGAGTATTGTGGCTGATTACCGTCCCCTGCCCCAGCTCAAGCCAGAGGTGATCTTCTTCGGCGAGTCTATCCGCCAGCAAGTACGCGAAAGATCGTACGCACACCCAGCCACCCTCCCACTCTCCGCTGTTGTTGACAACTTTACCCCAGGTTTGAGGACGTCGAGAAAGGCGACAGGTTGTTCGTCGTCGGGACCACCCTAGCCACCTACTCCGCGTTCAGGTATCACGCCTCCTGTCTCTAAGCACATATGGATACTAATACACATCCCGATTGTGTAGACTACTCAAACACGCGCTTCAGCTGAAGAAGCCCGTGCTGATGCTCAACGTCGGCCCCACCCGCGCGGATAGCATAGCAGAGTTGGACAAGATAGACCTCCCTACGAGTGCCGTCCTTCGGGAAGTGGTCAAGGCCCTCGTGTAAGTCCCTCTTCCTGCATACTGACTTGCTCAAGTTGATAGCGGTGTAGAGGTGTACGAGCAGTCGAAGATCCTGTAATCCGAGAGATGCTTGCCAGGTCGGTCTTGACTCTGTTTGGTATTTGTGATGCGCGGCCTGACTTCTGTTGTTTAGTGGGATCACCCGACCTCCTCTTGATGACGACGGGGAGGACGTTACCGGCCCTGGAGCAGCGGGCTAGCCTGCATGTATCGTACCCCTGTCATCCTACGTTCTCGCTGACTCTCCGCGATTCGCGACCACCACTCTTGCCCGTGATCATTATAGCATAATAGCATATAAGTGTACAAGTGATAATGAAACCCGAATTGATGTTTAGATTAGGATTTTACAACGACACCCTAGTGGTCTCGGGGAAAACACTATGATACATCGAAGTCCGAACCAAGCTATGCAGGAGAATTACATGTAAATGGTACCGGGAACAGAGGAGAGTGACGTCTAAGCAAGTGACAGAGACGGAAAATATATACAACATGCCCGCGCTACATTAGATCGACATTACGACTATAAGTATAATAGTTAGAATACAACGCAAAGCGACGACAGAGCGATCAATGATAGCACAACAAAGCAGCAAGGAAGAATAAATCATGAGATATCCCGCGCCGTGGGGGGTTCGTTGACGGACGTCGAGCGCATGTTCGACACCTGGTGCAAGCACACCTGGCGATCCGACATATCCCGCATCAGCAGGTCGTCCTCGTCGCCGTCGTTGGTGCTCAGGTGGAACATCGTCGACTGGTCCCACACGGGGCGCTTGAGGTGCGACCAGCTCCAGTTCTTCCAGTCCTCTGGGCTGAGCGGCGGGAGCTCGCGGATGATCTTGCGGTGCGAGCGCGAGAGGTAGTCCTCGACCTCGGGATCGGGCTCGCGGATGTGGAGCGAGGGTGAGAGGTCAGGCGCGGGCGACTCCTCTTTGAGGTGGTCGAAGCTGCTGCGGTCTTCGTCGGAGTCGGGTGTGAGGGGAGGGGGAGTGCACTCCTTGGGCGAGGAGGCTTTCGAGACGGAGACTGAGCGCGAGGAAGTCTGTAATTTGGGGAACCGCGACTGTTGAGTGGGCGGCAAATGAATACGGCTCATATAAGCACTGAAGTCACGTACCTTCTCCTTAGCCTCCTGCTTCTTCTGCTCGACAAGCGCCTCCGGCCTCTTAAGACATCGCTCCTTGTGTTTGTTCCAGTGGAAAGGATCGTACGTGCTCTTCGGTGACAGCTTGATAGTCGACCAGCAGCGCTTGCAGACAACTGCAGTGGGCCCTAGCACTTCTGCCATCGGATCGTCTCGGAGCTTCCTCTCCCTCTTCTTCTGAGCGGGGGTGCGGCTGACAAAACTACTATTGGCGGAACTACAGAAGACAGTCAGAGGACCTCTTCGGCAACATATGGCAGGCGGACTTACGGAGATGAACGGGTTGTTTCGGTGGATTCTGAGGGGGGCTTGGAACTATGTCGTCTTCGGTTAGCGAAGCTACACATGCCCTTCGGGCTGTGGCGGCGTACCTCGTCCGTGTAAGCACAGTCTCCGGGTCATTCAGCAACGCGTGTAAAGATGAGCCCTGCAGTCTATCGTCGATCCTCGAGTCTTGCGATGTCGCGTCATTACGCGTCGCGCCGGGCGTCGCAGAGCTACAGTGGCGCTCAGCATCGTTATTCTGCACAGAAGTAGACATGAAAGCGCTCACCTCGAGCCAGCTACAGCGGTACTAGCCGTATTACGCGGGGAATTAAGCAGGGAAGTCATTGATAGAGAAATGGAAAGATGATATGAAGGCGGTAGGTTGTGGTACGGGGCGAAGGAGGATAATAGCGCACCCACCTACGCCACAGCCAGGAGAAAGGCCCAGAAAGGCTCTCGATCGGCAACTTCCGGGCACCGACGCAATCGTCCACAACAGGCGTGGCGCTTTGCGTACGCAAACCTGGGCCTATCACGTCCGGTCTACTATGTTATGTTGCTGTCCTATGGGAGCACAATCTTTCACTCTACAGCATATCTTGAATCCCGCTCCAGGCCATCGACCTGCTGATACTTTTCTAACAGTCACTGTATATAGCGGGAGATCGTATACGTAGTGGTATCGTACAAACAAAATCAAGCCAGTAGTAGTAGAAAACAAGACTCCAAATACCTAACATAGTGAGGAATGTCGGAAGGGGTAGTAGAGGTATCGCAGAATTAAAGCCCAGAGGAAGTCAAGTACAGCCTACATTTAAGTTCTTGAATATATTACTTAAATATTCACAACTTCTACGACGAGCCCCCGCTCAACCCTTCGCGGAACCCACGGATGAACGTTTTGAAAGGCAGGAGGAACCAGCCCCAAGGGCCCGGCGCCTCCTGCTGGGGAGCTTCGTAGTCTGCCGTTCGCGGGCGATTTTGCGGCCTGCTCTCTGCATCACCGTCTTCGGTTTCCCGCGGGCGTTTCTGGCCTCTGTCCGGGCTGACCTCCTTCGGGGTTTCATCGGATGCAGGACGTACCGGGGCGGAGGGAGGGGATACCGGCGCGGCTCGGGTCTTAGTGGACGTCCCGTTCGTCTGAGGCGGGGACCTAGGCGATCTCGGGCGCCTTGGATGGTAACGTGAGCAGGGGGATACGAAATACACTACCGAGCAACGTACTTCACGCAGGACCCCTTGTGCTCTTGCCATTTGGTCAAGTCGTAGTCGGGGGAGTCTTTCTCAGTCGTAACGGTCTCACCGCACGATGCACATTCCACGCTGCGAGCGGTGAACGAGTGGGCCAGCGGGTCGTTAACGAGGTTCAACTTGCGCTGGGCCATTGCGACGCGACCGCTGGGCCTGGAATACTAACATGTCAAATAGCATTCAAGCAGGGATGACGAAAGCGACGCTGACTGAGATTTCCCGACGCAGCTTTCCCTGTGACGATTCCAGTTCCCGAGGACGTACACTCGGCCAGTTGCCAGCTTGATCCATCTGTGACAGTTCTTGCATAACACCTCGTGCGGTCGCGCCTCTGCGACCATGGGGTCCGCTTCGAGCACAGCGCGCCGCTCTGCTTCCGTGGTACGCAACTTCCCAGCTACAGAAGGCGCTACGACGGAGGCTGCGTCTTCAGCCTCTTGCTCTTCTTCCGCTTCCTCTTGCGCTGCCTGCTCTTGCGCTGCCTGCTCCTGCGCTACCTGCTCCTGCGCTGCCTGCTCCTGCATCACCGCCGCCTGCTCCCGGCTGAGCACAATAGTAAGCATGGCTGAAGCAGACGGTTCAACAAATCCGAGACGCACCCAGGCACGCATCTCTGAATATGATTCAGCCAAGGGCGAACCGCATAGGTGGGCTTCTTGCCCAGACTGATCCACTTGTCGCATTTAGAGCAGTGCGCGCGGTGCTCCTCGAACTGGTCGCAGTGCGGGTCGTCCTCGAAGATCTTCTTGCGCTCCGGCTCCGTCCTCCGCATGCGCGGAGCGAGGGAGGTGGACGACTCGGCGATCGAGGAGGCGTCGTCGTCAGGAGACTCTGCGCCGGGTTTGTATCTACGAGGAGCGTCATTGGAAGGGAATTGGGCGGGGGATACGAGGGCATACGCAGGGTCGCGTTTGGCGATGGAGGACCGCTTTCTCTTGAGTTTGTCTTTGGCAGGGGTGCTAGCTGGACTGGGTTCTGGCCCTGGTAGACTAGCGAGCCGGTAGAAATAAGAAAATGACCATCAAGCTGGTAGTGGATACAAGGACATACTGCACATCGACTTTCTTCGGCCCCTACAATTGAATAAATTCAGTATCTCTATTTGGGAACTGGAGCATATCGGGGCAGTTTTGCTCTCCCTCATGGATCCCCCCCTTTCCCCTCTTCACAGCACTGGACCGCAGCGGTATCTCCATAGCAAACAATGGCACTCACTCGTTGACTGGGAGTCTCCACCGCCCCATTCTTGCTCTCCGTCGCTTCACCTCCGTCCAATGTTCCCCTGCAATCAATGTCGATACCCCCTCCCGTTGCAGCACTATTCAACTCACTGTGTCACGCTGACAGTGCTACTATCCCTCTGCGCTCACGATTCAGCCTCCCAACCCCGCGATGAAGATGAGACAAACTCACCTTGTGTTTCCTCGAGTACTTGACCTTAACGGCTGCTCTGCAAAGCGCGCAACCAAGTCAGCACGCCCATAAGCCCAGGCTCGCACAATTTACCTGTCAGGAGAGGATGTCTGGCTATCCATGGCTTCTCTGGAACGCGGAGCCCCGGGATTTCTCGACTTCGAGACCGTGGATGCGCGGGTGAAGGTGGCAGCCCGGGTATCGGGAATTCCAACTCCGACAACACAACGCTCACCGTCCCAACTGAGTCCACTCTCCTTCCGGATCCTTGCAGGCTTGTAGTCATTTCCTGAGCTTTTGGCGCTGCCTGTGACGGTTCTAGCCGACTTACTCAGAGCTGGCTCTATGAATTATTGTGCCGTTTTTCGATTTACCGGGACATGGCGTACCAGCCATGCGTCCCCGATGATCTCTACGTTCCGAGTTGGGCATATCCTGGTATATCCTGGCTAAGGTACAACGCGAAAGCATGCTAAAGTCCCTCTGTCATGCGACCCGTAACTATTGAAATTTGCCGTATGCCCCTTTGAATTTCACCTGGACAAGCCCTCCGACTAGCTTTGCGAACTCTTGCTTGCCTTCTACGTGCGAAGCCACGTCCTTTGCTAAAGATCCCAGATTTAGCTGCAATTTACTGTCAGATTGCAAGCTGGGATTGGCAGAGGGGTGTGATAAGCTTCTGCGCTGCTTTGAGCGCTTCGCCATTGATGTGGGGATAATTCTCCTCCCATACTACCTGGACGTCCCACAGAAAGATACTCACTCCCACTTCGCCGATACCTGTAATGCCATGTTCAAGCAAGGCCCTTGGTCCCAGCTAAATTCCGGAAACGCGCCTTGAATTCCTTTAGCAGTTTCCGCTCCTTACTAGGGTTGTTCTGCGCGGCTTCGCGGAGATTGTTCAAGTCCCCACCTAGTCTCGCAAGTGTAACGCCGTACCCTAGAAGTTATGCCTGAGCTCTACCATATTTCTCTAGCAATCTGTCGCTCATTTCACCAAGAAAGGTAGCTGTCCGCTCCCGATAGTGAGTGTACCCGCCTTCTGTAAGGTACTCCATTCGCTGCTCCCAGGTCGTGTCCCTCATCTTATTTGCGTCGGTCAAACCATGCTCATGGAACAATGTCTGGAGTCCTAGCTGTTATATTCTTTATTCTATTCTGCATTACCTACTAACCTTCAACGTCTGTAGCGCAATATCATGCGATATTCTTGTCGAGAATATCTGTCCTGCCATGAACTGCTGGAACAGGCTTGGCTCCGAACCATCGTTATCGATTCCCAGCTGCTCTGCTATGGTAGTCCCATATTTCTTCAGGATCCTCTGCGCGAGCTCTGGGTTCGCGACGACCTGACTTATCCTCCGCCGTTTCGTTCTCGGCTCGTCTGCTGCTGGCTTTGGCGCTGTCCCTGTCGTTTTCCAGGCGCGCTTCGGCGGCATGGTGATGGGCTAGTGCTGAGAATCTGAAGAATACCAGCCGTTGGTCCCAATCCCTGGTTATGAAGAAGTCGACAACCACAAATGACGTCGGGCCACGTGACTATATAGGCGAAGTTCCCTTCAAGTTCTGAAGTGGTCCAGGTCATCCAAGGTCATCCCGTGAATCCTATCTTTCCCGCCGTGAACCAATGGGTGATGGCAATTTGGCAATCTCACCCTCATGAGATCCGTGCCTTCCCTTATATAACATTCTAAATAAATTAATACGTGCCAGTACATGGTGCATTATATACAAGTAGCATTATACCAAATGTAGCGTGGAAGCACAAGCAATCCACAACCATATCTGCTTCAACCAAACCTCTCCGCGGATACCATGCGTCCCTGGAAGTCCTGCGCGGCATAGTCTGACTCCATTACCGAGAAATTCGAGTAGTGGCCGCCTTGATTCTGTGGCATAGGAAAGTCCATCATGGAATGCGACGTCGAAGGAAGACTTGCATACGCTTCAGCGTGCTGCATCATACCCGGATGAGACTGCGGGTGCATGGGGAACGGGGGTATATTCGGGATATGCTGCTGGTAGCTCGTCTGCACAGGGTAATGGGGAACGTGGACCTCGGGAGTGTGCTGCACCCCCGCTACGCCTACACTGTGATGCAGCTGGAGGGATGGGTCGATATTTTGATAGCTAGCGGAAGGATCTTGATATTGATCTGCTTGCAGGGAAGTTGACGGGGCCTCGTATGGTATACCCGGTTCTGGCGGAGTGGCATGCGTACAGGCCCGGGCGGATTTGCCCTCTCGCACGCACTCGGTACATGGTTGGTCGATGCAATGGAGGCCCTTGCGGACGCATGTTGAACATGGCCTTGAGGGTATTTAAGTCAACGCCAGGCTGAGGCAAGAAAGAGCTTACCGTCCACCGTCGCACCTGATTTTGTCTCTCCTATTCGACTAATTCAGTCGAGTCCGATGAATAGGTTGTAAACGCTCTTACCGGCAACTATTACATGCCTGGAGATAACTTGTGAATTATAGACATGAATAGCGTAGAACGAGTACGCACCGCTCTTGTTCGTAGGCCATGCCCCCGGCCTTTCCGAGGGGCGTCGACACATTCAATTCCCTGGTAGGCACAATGCCTGCACGGCCGGGTGTCTTCGCACTTCCTGCTATCTCGCCGGCACGCCTCGCAGCGGGACTTCACCTGCTTAGGCCCCTTTTCCACATGAATGCAGTCCTGGCCCCTCGCGACGCACCGCGAGCAGGGCCGCTCGTCGTCGCACTATTGGGATCTGTATAGCCTCTGCATCTCGCACCGGAGTGAACGACATGCCTTCTTGTTGTCCTTCCGACATGCTAGGCATGCTAACTTCACTCTCTCGGGGACTTTGACGCTATGATTACGGGCCGAGCTACCGATCTTCGGGGCAGACAATCCCGCAGGATAGACTGAAAGAGGGCCTGTGGCATCCAGCACTGGAAACACAGGCTTCGGAGGAGGCTCGGGCTCGTCCTGGCACTCAAGGTCCTTCTCGCGGCACCGTCGGCAAGGCCTACCATCTTCGCATCGAACTCTCGCCTTACGACAATGTTGGCATCCGTCCGTACAATGGAAGCGCTTCTTTATGCAGTTCCCGCATGGTCTGTTGGACCATTATGTTAGTGTGTAGTAGGAGGGCCCATTACTTGCAAATACGTACCTGCCACCGTCACACCTAATCTTGTCCCTCCTTCACTCAAAGTCAATTCAGCGCCCACATCTTCATATATGGAAGAGAAGCATCTAAACTTGTACGAACCTGCAATTGGCACAAGCCTTTAGAGTATAGGATCAACATCGCGAACAGGAAGCCACGTCAATCAACAAACAATGGATCAAAATGGGCAGAGGGCTCCTATGGGGAAGGAGGCGATCGTACCTTGCTCGTGCGTCTCGTATAGGCGTTATAGCTCGCGGAATCGGATGTGCATGTCGGGTTCGGAAAGGTTATACCTTCGGGAATCATAGCAGTCGATGGAAGGGAGGTGCCGAACATTCAGGGCGGCTCGGACACAATCCGGTGCATTTTGTCGGGCCCGAGGTTGGCCCGAAGACGCGCGCGATCGTATCTGCTTCATTCTCACATTGAGCTCTCAAACGCATCGCCGTGAGTTTTGTCGTGAACAATTGTGTTATATTGACCAGTATAACAATACGTCTATGTCTACCATGAAACATAAGATATGCACTCCTTTGCGGGACAACCCGGTCCCGCAACCCAACATGACCAAGTGCATGCTCCGAGGAGAAAAGACAGCACTGTGAGAGCCCCGCCCTCGTAAAACCCAAGCGAGCGACCCCAGCAGATCCCAGCAATAAAGAGACAGCAGTAAAGACAGCGGAACCCGTGATGAACGTGACGACCCAAGCTAATAATACGGACGATGCGAGCTAGCGGATACATTGGTGATTGATGCGTGCCGGACGGGCTGATTCTTGCGTTAGTGTACAATTGCGCCTATATGGTTGTGATAAAGTAGCCGGATCCATGCTGCGGACGTGCCAGTTTACTGGTAAACGGCGATGTAGTTGACGTTCCACTTCGCGTCTATGGAGGGACAGATGTTTCGTCAGTTATACTAGTCGTACCGACATGAAACGATACTACCCACTCTTGAAATTGGTAGGGTCAGCTACAGCCTCCTCGCACGTCGCGGGGCATCCGCTAGAGGCGTACGCAGCACCAGCCCAGTCGCCGCAAAGGGTCGTATCAATCACCAACGAGTGGTCGTAGAAGTGGGACTTGATGTCGCAGCTAGAGCTCGCGAACGACGCCGCAGGATGGCCCCAGCTGCTCGGGTTCGGCGTCTTCGCAGTGATGTCCGCGGGAATGCTGCCCCTGGGGAAGTGCCAAATGGAGATCCCGTTGTCGTCCCACAGATGGGCGAAAACGCCGCCGGCGATCATGTTGAAGCCGTGGCCATAGCTGTTGTCGTTCGTGTCTTCGATCGCGCACCCGGAGTTGTCGGCGGGGCTGCTTGCGCATGTCGTGCCGAGGGTGTGCCCAGTGAATGCGGTAGCAGTGTCCAGGGAGCACCCATCAGCGGTGTGCAGGGTCATCTGGTTCGTCTGACCCAGGTTGACACCCTCGACGACGTCGATCTCCCCACCGTTCGGCCAGTTGGGCCCCGTCGACCACCATGCGGGCCACACACCGCAACCATGGGGCATCGAGTAGAAGTCAGCGATGAAAAGGCCGTTCGAGTAAGTCTTCTTCGACGTGATCCGAACACTAGATACGTATGAAGTAGATCAACATCGGTAATCATCCGATTGAGAGGATCACGACACTTACGACTTCCGATTACCGCCAACGGCAACAGTGCTCTTGTCATCGACAGCCAGAACGGTCGTGTTATCGCTCTGGACGTAGGCGAGACCGGCGGATTGCGCCTCGGACTGTGACACGAAGTCAACGAGACCGTGAGTTGGGTCACCACCGGTGAAGAAGTCCCAGCCGCTACAAGAGTTGGTCAGCTCAGAGCAATACATGCCACCAATGAGACGCGTACTCAAAGAACGATTGTCCCTGGTAAAGATCGACAAGCTTGTACGTCTGGTCTGCTCTCGCGTGGACCTTGGGGGTGATCTGGCGGCTCCGATGACGCCTCGCGTGGGTTCCATGGGGATGGCCAGCCAAAGCCCCTTGAATCAAGAACAGGACAGATAAAGCAGTGAGGATTTGCTGCATGATGGTAGTCGTAAAGAGGTGGAGGCGGAGGTAGGGAAAATCTATGGGTCGGGAGGGAGAGGGTCGGAAGAGAAGGGAGAACAAGAGCGGGTTGAAAAAGAGAGAAGGTGGTGGTTGGAGTGAGGTTTATGGAACTTTGACGGCATTGTCCCTCAATGGCGGGTGGCGTCCGAATGGCCGCGTCCCAAAATAGCCAATCCCTTTTGTGGGAGCGATCGCACTGTTTAGCCGAGTGTTGCCACGTGACTCAGCGCGCTAAGGACGGCCCTAAACCTCGCCCTGGCTGCGTAGGGAAATCGCAACGCCGGGCGGATATTCCACATTTTGGAGATCGTCGCGCTCCTCGTCGTTGACCATAGCGACAGAACGACAGCCGCACCACTTGAGAACCAGGCGTAGGCGCACGAGGAGCTGCTTGACCAGATGTCGGTGGGGCAAGTGGAAGGCAACCCAGGCACATAGTCCAGCGCAGTCAGGAGAAATTGGGTGTAGCTCGCGCCCATGATCCGGGCTATGGCAACTCGCGGTGTCTGGCCTTCACGGTCAATCACTCCGTACGGATTGTTTCTGTCGCAATTCTGATAGAGAGGAGCCTGTGGACAGCAGCGATGGGTATCCCGGCCGGGTACGTCGCCGTCCACACAGTGAACCACGATGGTCTCCGTAGGCTGGGTGCGTCCGGACTGAAAACTAGGATTACCTGACGATACCCAGGCATCCTTTCCTGAAGCTCTTCGGGAGTTCCCGTCAGTACTTATTCAATGAATGTCTATGCAGGATAATGCTGATCATCTTCGTACTTACCTGCGATGCTGGCCATCCCTGATTTCCTGAGGACTATTTCATCCAGGAAGAGACAAATTCATGATTGAAGGAGGCCGGGCGGGGGGGGGGGGGCGATGAATGAGATCGGAGCATGGGCTGTGAAGCGTGTTTTCATTTGCATGACAGCCTGCATAGTCAAAACGCTCCGTATGCTGCAGCTCTGCATTGGTATGAGCTGGACATATCATGAGAGGGACATGCCCTAAGAAGCGGAAGACCAGAATAATATGCTATATGCCTGCCTCTTTGCGCAGCTACTGTACTTTACTGCTCAACTTGAGGCATTTTCTCGCGAGCTGGCATTCGGCAATGTGTTTCTCCATCCATGTATCAGAATGAAGGCAAGATAGCCAGCTTCTGAAGCAGTCCCCGCTGTGCATACATCTTGGCCCTACTATCGTCCATCATCCCGGAGTCACTGTAGTCTACATCCCAGGCTCATCCGCCAACCTACTAAGTTTGGGAGTTAGTGTACATACTACACAACACTCACCACACAAAAGGAGCCGCCGACCGTGGGTCCCGTTTTCATGTCGGCATCATTTCTAACAATGCAGCAAAGGCTTTCTTTATCCTCGGATGGTATACACGCCGTAACCGCCCGGCTTTATCTCCAATGCAGCAAGTAGCTCTACCCTTCAGGGATAGTATGTAGCATTGGCGGGAACGTGAGACAAACGGGCAGTATCCTCGCTCGGAACACGCGTTGTTTGGCATTGCTTGGTCTTGGGTTCGTGCGGGACGCCACAGACGCGTTCACCATCGTACGCTTGGGTCTTCTATAGTTGTAGTGTCAAGTCCGTCAGATGGCGCCTACTGATTTTGTCGCCAATTGGTATTGTATCAGTTAACCCTCTCGCTGAAATACCCCTTGATAAGCCGACAGCAAGAAGTGATGCGATGCGGCCGAAGAAGCACGGCGACCGAGTGCATACGCATGCTACCGTCGACGGGGAGCAAAAGGATGGGTATCATATTATGGTGCAAATTACTGTCAAGGTAATCTATCCCGAGCATGGTATATTAATCTCTTCTTGGGATCAACCTCCTTCAAATTCAGGTAGAGACTGGTAGAAAGCGCTTCCGGCTGGCATTTAGTGGAGGATCAATGTTTGATTTATAAAGCAGATCTGCAACGCGAGGCAAGCGTATCAATTTAATTAGGAAACTGGGGACTTCAGCGTATCTCCGCCTTAGGTTGCTGTCCGACAGTAACATTCCATGTGCATCCCGCCGTGTCAGTCTGCTTGTGAGTGGGGTCTCTGTACTTGGAAGGTGTGTTGGAAATCTGTAGCCCACTGCAGAACGAATGTATTCCGTGAATAAAGTACATAACAATCTGATCCTTCCTTTTCGGGCGGCGTTGTTTGGCGTCGGCTTTGGATCCTAACAAAACAGATCCCGCCGATCCGAGCGGTGCGTATCATGCGCACGCTTGTGCACACGACTCCGACTATATCGAGACGGTATGCATATGCTCTGCGATGATTGTCGCCCGACATAAGAGCCGCCATAGGTGACTCCGCCGCGCAACGCCATGGCCCTCTACCTCTGCGTCGACTGCGGCGGCTCCAAGACCTCCGCCGTCATCTGCAACGCCGCCGGCGACATCGTCGGGCGCGCGCTCGGCGGCCCCTCCAACTACGCGTACCTTGGCCCCGCCGCGTTCCTCGCCGCCGTCAAGGACGCCGTCAGCCACGCCCTCCAAACCGCGGTGTCTCCGCCGTCCCCCGAGCCCGTCGCGCTCCCCCCGTCCGCGCCCCTCTTCGCCGCCGCCTGGCTCGGCGTCTCAGGCGTCGACAGCCCCGCAGACATCGCGACGATCACGCCGCTCGTCTCCGCCCTCCTCCACCTCGATCCCGGCCCGAAGCTGAGCATCGGCAACGACACGCACCTACTCGCCGCGCCGCTGCGCCTGCACCCGGACATCGCGCACGCCGTCGCCGTCATCGCGGGCACCGGCTCCATCAGCGTGAGCTTCCGCCAGCGCGAAGACGGGACGCTCGCGGAGCTGGGAAGGGTCGGCGGGTGGGGCTGGATGCTCGGCGACGAGGGCGGCGGGTTCCACGTCGGGCGCGAGGCGGTGCGCCAGCTGCTGCTCGAGACCGACCGCGCGAGCGTCCAGGAGGCGCAGCCCGCGGGGAGCCTGCGCGCGCGCGTGCTCGAGCGGTTTGGGATCAGCCACCTGCTCGAGATCCTCGCGCTCGTGCACCTCCCCGACCCGGACCCCGCGCCGGGGAATGGGGGGGAGGTGCCGCAGTATCGGAGCGTGCCGAAGGAGAAAAGGCTGTCACAGCTGTCTCCGCTGGTGTTCGCGGCTGCGTTCGAGGACGGCGACCCGCTCGCATTGAATGTCCTGCGCACGTGTGCGGGGATGCTCGCGGAGCAGATATCGGTCCTGCTAAGCCCCGACGGGGATAGCCAGGTCGCGAAGAATGCTGTGGCGGCGAAGGAGAGCGTGGTATGTTTTGGGGGCTCGCTGGTGGGGATTGAGAAGTATAGGAAGTTAGTGCTGGATGGGCTGAAGGAGAGGGGGCATGTGTTCCGGTATGTAGAGTTTGTGGAGGATGCGGCCGCCACTGGCGCAGCTGGGTTGGCTGCTGCTGCTACTGCTACTGCTACTGATTGAGAGGGAGCGGAAAGTACAAATGTATTCAAGGCGGATATCTGGTATGGACATCCATTTCACAATTCTTGCGTATGCACTCATATATGCGCCTCAGTAGGATTATATTTTAAATGCATCTATCGGGATACCAATACATTCAATGTACAGCGTGGACACCTTCTGCCCGTTATCAGGCTCACAACTACGGTCTCTTTGTGACCGAGATTTGCACTCGGAACCACGTTGTGGAATCCGACGAAGTCCACCCGGCGTTGCCATTCTCGTGTGCGGCATTCAGGAAAAGGTGATTTGCCCGACATCCATGTGCTAGCTGGTTCCACCGCATGCTTGGGAGTACTTATGGACACTCGCCCAGCTATCATGCGAGTGATAGCTGGACAGGTGTCTATATCTCCATGCTTCAGAGCATGTGAGGTCGGGGGCTTATGCCATCTAGCCGTAGCGGACGAGATGTAGCGGTCCTCTTAGCATTCTGAAGCCGTTTTCGTAACGCCCGAGCACGGCTCTCTTGAATGGCAAAGCATATCAAGGGGGACTAGCGCTTTCAAAATACTGCTTAGGCGTCACGATACCGCGGATAATTAACGGTAACGAAAGTCGACAACACTGAATTATCGTCTGCGACTTTGATTATCGTTTTCTATTGAGAAGGGAAACATTGCCTTGCATACACTGATACATACAGACACATACATATACCAAGAAACGAGTCCAAGAGTCACTTGCAAGAAAAGGGTATAATATATATTCTTATCATCGTTGTTAAAGCGCGCGGCGTCCTAAACCGAGTGTCCAGTACCGTGTAAACCGTGGTGATATGACTTGATGGGTCCCATGGAAGCGCGAGTATGTCCAGTCCAGGTCTTCGTCCGAAATGCGGAGCACCAGAAGGAATGCGGACAAGCCTCTGAGACGATAACTGTAGAGTCGACCGAGGATCAACGCAGTTATCCTCGAACTCGCATCGGTAGTTCCGAGAGCGTGGCAGCCGAAGGGGCGCCCCCTGTGCCAGACAGAGGATCCTGCACGGCGCCGATGCTGAGGTTCGCGGAATCAGAGGAACACGAGTTCAAGGTCCACGTAAGATAGAGAAGGGGATCACATATCGTCCATGGTGATGTCTTGTTCTTTAAAGTG